ACGGAAGCTTATGCATGTGCATCGACTACCGAGCCCTCAACAAGCAGACGATCAAGAACAAGTATCCGATTCCACGGATCGACGATCTACTTGACCAGCTTCGTGGAGCCACAGTATTCTCAAAACTCGATTTGAGATCGGGATATTGGCAGATCCGGATGGCGGATAACTCCATCCATAAGACAGCGTTTCGGACACGATACGGATCCTACGAGTACCTCGTCATGCCGTTCGGACTCACCAACGCACCCGCTACATTCCAGGCCGAAATGAACCATATTCTTAGGCCTCTACTCGACGAATGCGTGGTGGTGTACCTGGACGACATCCTGATCTACTAGAGGGACATGAAGCAGCACATCGAACACCTACGACACGTCTTCGAGATACTTCGACGGGAGAAGTTCTACGTCAAGCTATCCAAGAGCGAGTTTGCCTTGAAGAAAGTTCAGTTCCTTGGACACATGGTGAGCGCTCAAGGAGTCCATGTCGACCCAAAGAAGATCGAAGCCGTACGTACGTGGAAGACACCGGAGAACGTGAAGGAACTTCAGCAATTCCTTGGCTTTGCGAACTATTATAATCGGTTCGTGCCACAGTATGCGAAGATTGCAACACCTCTCACCAATCTACTGAAGAAGAATGCACCGTTCAAGTGGGAGGATGTGCACCAGCAAGCCATGGAGCAGTTGAAGACCGCACTCACGTCCGCACCCGTCCTGATCCTGCCAGATCCAGAAAAAGACTACGTCATCGAAGCTGACGCTAGCGACCAAGCAGTTGGAGCAGTCTTGATGCAAGACCAAGGGAAAGGACTACAACCAATCGCTTACCTCAGCAAGAAACTACCCGATTCACGACAAAGAGGCCTTAGCGATCATCATGGCATTCAAGACATGGCGATGCTACCTCGAAGGGAGAAAGACCACGGTCTACACTTACCATTGCAGCCTAAAATACCTGAAAACGCAGCCGACCCTCTTCAGACGACAAGTCAGGTGGATTGACTTCCTCGAGACGCACTTCGACTACGACATCGTGTACAAGCCGGGACACAAGAATAAGGCAGACGCACTGAGCCGGCCTGGACACGTTGCCGCCATACAGATTGAGGGGATGAATCCGCTACTCAAGGGACTCTTCATGCACGGGTATACCATCGACCCCGAGATTCCCTTAGCAGAGAAAAAGAAATTGTTGCAGTGGGACCACGACGTCGCACTACGCAAAGGATCAACAAAGATATGGGTACCCAACTACCCGCCTCTTCGGCAGTTGCTTCTCGAAGAATTCCATGACGTGCTCTACGCTGGACACTTCGGGAGTAACAAGACTCTTGCCGGGATTGCGAAAGTCTACTACTGGCCTCACATGGCAAACGACGTGCAAAAGTTTGTCACTTCGTGCGACATGTGCCAGCGGATGAAAAGCAGTAAGCAGAAGAAAGCAGGACTTCTTCAGCCTTTACCCGTCCCGGAACAGCCTTGGCAAGTGGTCAGCTTGGATTTCATCACCGGTTTACCACCTACCAACGCGGGGCATGACGCCATCCTGGTCGTCATCGACAAATTCTCAAAGATGGGACACTTCATTCCAACACATACAACCGCACACACGGAGGAAACGGCACAGCTATTCCTCAAACACATCATCTCACAGCACGGGATCCCAACAACCCTCATATCCAACACGGACCCCAAGTTTACTAGCAAGTTCTGGAAAGAGCTCATGTCGCTCATGGGGACACGCCTCGCAATGACATCTGCATATCATCCCCAAACCGATGGGCAGACAGAGCGCTTGAATCAAATTGTGGAACAACTCTTGTGCGCAGCGTGCAAGGACGACATTAACAAGTGGGACTTGCACTTGCCGGTGTTGGAGTTCGCCTACAATAATGCAAAGCATGCCGCAACAGGAGAGACCCCATTTTTCCTCTGTTACGGACGACATCCACTAACTCCACAACAGCCGACAGTACCTGCAACTGTCCAACCTGTGCACGACTTCGTTACCACAATGCAGCAGCTTTGGGATCGGACACACAAGCGTCTACAGGACATACAGTCTTCACCGAAACGCTTGGCCGATCGCCATCGACGTGATCATACCATTGCGGTTGGTGACCATGTGCTTCTCGACACATGCAACCTCAACCTCGGTCACCTTCCATCCAAGTTACGACCTCGCTTCTGCGGACCTTTCCTCGTAGAAGAGCAGGTCACTCCAGTCACATTTCGCTTGCGCCTACCAGCTTCTTGGAAGATTCATAACACCTTCCACGTGCAGCTTCTTAAACCCTATCAAGATCCAAATAAGCTGTACACGGGACGCCAACCTCCGCCGCCGCCTCCAGTCCTCGTGAATGATGAACTTGAGTACGAGGTTGAATCTGTGCTTGCACATCGTCGTCGTCGGCATGGCGCCCTGGATTTTCTCGTACGCTGGAAAGGCTATGATCCTTCTGAGGATAGCTGGGTCTCTGAAGAAGACATGAGTAACGCCCGACGTTCTCTCCGCGACTATCTTGTCAAGCAGGGTGTTACATCTACCACCCAACTTTAAAAAGGGAAGTGTGAGAGTACGCCGACGTTCGACATATTTCTCATTTCCATATTTTTACTCCATCTTATTCTCCTTATTTTCCTCTTTCATTTGCACTTTATTTCACCTCAATCGGACTACTATTCTATTTTCTAGAGCTTTCCGATTATTTCACTTATTTGGTATTTTCGGCACCGACATTTACATTCTACGGCACCGACAGTGGTGTACAAGGCGTAATCTCGCCATAATCCGAAGTGCCAATGGGCTTGCGTGCTTATGCGCACTTGTGATTATCTATTCTAGAAGAGCGCGTTCCCGAAGGTTCGGATTATCTGTTGTTTCTATGTATTTCTGAGTATAAATACGCCTTATATTCACCTTTAGTGCAACATTCTCGAGTGGAAATTCAATCCTGTGACACGAAGCAGATGCATGTCTGCCTTTCTGCCCATCCAAGCCCTGTAGGGAGAGTTGTTGTTCTCAAGGCTTCGGGACGATAGCAAGTTGTGCAGCCGGACAGCGTGGTTCATTGCAAATGGCCAGTACTTGGTAGGGACGGTTGACTGCTTCATCAGGGCCCTCATCCTGGTGGCGAGGCTCTTGTTTGTCTGTTCTGCTACTCCTTCCCGCTCGTGAGTGTAGGGCAGGGACAGCAGGTGCTCAATCCCCTTCTGCTTGAAGTGTTCTTTGAACTCAGTTGAGAAGAACTCCAAACCCCCGTCTGTCTGGTAGGTTTTCAGCTTCAGTCCAGATTAATGTTCAGCCCATTTCATCCATGCCACAAAGCACTCGAATGCTAGGGAGCGGCAGTCGGTGTTGATGGCCCACATGTAGTGGGTGCATGCGTCGATGAAGGTAAGCGTGTAGTACTCGCCGTCGAGCCCTTCTTGACATAAAGTCGCTGTAGACTTTATCGGGTGGCTTGTAGCGTTCGTAGCCAGGAGGTAAGTCGGGAAATGGCTTGTGGGTGAGTGATGCAGTCAGGCACACGGTGCATGGTGGATCAACTGATTCTGCTGTGAGAGATCCTCCTCGAGGAAGAAGTAGTGCGTCCTCGTCTAAAAACACCGGCCCTGAGGGAGTTCTTGAGTGTGGTGTGTGACGGGTGCCCGTGTCAAACTTATATGTTGCATGTTGTGTAGGCTGTAGCGGGGTAGCCCATATGGGGTACAACCCAAATTAGGGTTAGAAATTGTACCCATCCTGCAGCTAGTTCATTCATCCTCGCTTACACTTTCTGACATGGTTTCAGAGCAGGTCCTCTCCTAGGACCGTTTTTTTTTTAGGGCCCACCGAATCGCACTACCCCACACGTTGTGCCGCACTGTTAGTGTTGCGCTGCCCTCCCCTGCCCTATGTTGCACCGCCCTGCGTACGCCCTGCCCTACGTCACGCCGCCCGTGCGCGCCCTGCCCTGCGTCGCGCCGCCCGCGCACGCCCTGCCCTGCCCTGCCCGCACGCCACTCGCTGCCGCCCTTCCCGCGCGCTGCTTGCCGCCGTGCCGCCCTGCCTTGCCCGTGCGCCGCTCGCCGCAGCGCCGCCCTGCCCTGCCCACGCGCCGCTCGCCGCCGCGCCGCCCTGCCCTGCCCGCGCGCCGCTTGCCGCTGCGCCGCCCTGCCTTGCCTGCGCGCCGCTCGCCGCCGCGCCGCCCTGCCCTGCCCGCGCGCCGCTCGCCGCCGTGCCGCCCTGCCCTTCCCATGCGCCGCTAACCGCCGCGCCGCCCTGCCCTGCCTACGCGCCGCTCGCAGCCGCGCCGCCCTGCCCTGCTCGCGCGCCGCCCTGCTGGCTGCCGCCCTGCCCTGATCTGCCTGCGCGCCGCCCTATGGGCCGCCGCCCTGCTTTGCCCTGCCTGCGTGCTTCCCTACTGCTAGCAGGCCCAACTGCTTTGCCCGCGATGGCTACTCTCAGTGTGCTCTCGTTCGATGCAGAGGGCCGTCCGATACAGTTCGACGCGTGGCTAGACGACCTGCAGCTGTACTTACTGAGCGATTCTAGGGACAGTGTCTCGCTGTTTGACCTCACGTCTGGCGCCTCTCTTGCCCCTCCTGACACAGCTGACAGTGCGACTCGCTCATAGTGACTTACCTGTGACGCTGCTGCTCGCCTAGCCATTCGCAACCACCTGCCGTTAGCCGAACGCGCTCACTTTGGCCAGCACAAGACTGCTAGAGCCCTGTACGACGCTATAGTTACTCATTACTCCTCCCCGGCCACTGCTGATCTAGGCCGCCTTATATTTCCCTACCTGTTCCCCGAGCTATCCGCCTTTGCCACAGTAGCCGACCTCGTCACTCACCTTCGCACTAGTGACACTCGCTACCGTGCCGCGCTTCCCGCCGAGTTTCTAGCCAAGAACCCTCCTCCCATGTACATCTTGGTCTACAACATTGTCACCCGCCTCCCTGACTCTCTTAGCACAGTCAGGGACCTCCTTCTCGCCCTTGACCCCACAGACCTCACTGTCGACCTGCTCGAGAAGCACCTCCTTGCGGCTAAGACCAGCATAGTCGCTGTAGGCGCTTCTCGTGGCACTCCTCGCACTCCCTTCTTTGAGGGGTGTTCCCCCTCCCCACTTGTCCCCTCTATTGCGTTTGCTGCTGCTATTGACTTCCTTCGTGCTGAGGAGGTCGGGGCTGCGTCTGCTCCTAGTGGGAGGCGCCGCAGCGGCAAAGGCAAGGGAGGCCAAGGTGGTGGGGGTGGCAGCGGTGGAGGCGGTGGTGGGGGCGGTGGAGGCGGTGGAGGTGGCGCTGGTGGTGGTGGGAGTGGTGGTGGGAGTGGAGGCGTTGGTGGCGGCGGTGGCGGCGGCAGTGGGGGTGGCGGCGACGGCAGTGGTGGCGAGAGCAGTGGTGGCGGTCGGGGTGGAGCTGTTCAGAGGGGAGGTTCTGGCGGTGGCCAGCGGCAGTAGCAGCAGTAGCGTCCGAGCGAGACCCCTTCGCCCAAGCAGCTTCGTGCGTGGTTTGCTTAGCGTGGGGCGTCTCGGGGTAGTGTTCGCTGCCCGTATGTCATTCGCACAGGTGGCCGCACTGGTCAGACATGCGGGAAGCTTCACACCCAGTACCGCTGCTTCTCCCATCTTGACGACGCCTTTCGCGCAGAGTTTCCCGACGCGACTGAGCTCCCCCACTGGGCAGAGCTGCTTTGGCAGGGTGTGGATATTTTTGCTCTTGATTATGATGCTATCCTTGCTGCCATGTATGCATTGACTGTTAGTGCTGAGGGTGACTGTTACCTATGTGTGCTGCCCGACCCAGGTATAGAGTCTGCTGCTCTAGGTGCTAGTGAGTCTGCTCTCCCTGGTACTGCGCCTGCTGAGGCCTTGCACACCTTCTAGCTTGACTCAGGTGCTTCCCGCTGCTTCTTTCGCGACAACACTACAGTCACACCACTCCCAACACCGGTTGCAGTCTCTCTAGCAGACCCCTCTGAGGGCCCGGTTCTTGCACGTTCCTCCACTGTTCTCCCGTGTCCGGCGGTTCCGTCTCGCTCACTGTCAGGTCTTCACCTCCCCTCGTTCTCTACGAACTTGGTGAGCAACACCGTCCTTCAGGATGAATGGGTTGATACCTTCACCCCTGGAGGACAGTGTGTGGCGATCTGTACGTGCTCCCGGACTGGCCGTCACCTGGCCACGTTCACCCGTCGGCCTGGGTCGAGTCTGTACACACTGACTACTGAGCCTCCTCAGGAAGCTGCGTCTGTGCACGCGTCAGGTCAGCTTTCAGCCCCCTGCTCGTGTCGCCACCTGTCGCACCAGACTCTCCTTTGATACCACCGTCTTGGTCACCCCTCCCTGCCAAGTCTCTGTGGCATGCACTCCCGCCTCCTTGTCTCTGGTCTTCCCATGTCTCTGCCTCCCCTCCCACCCTTGCCTGCCCCTCCCTCCCTTCCCTGTGTCGAGGGGCGGCAGTGCGCCGCTCCTCACTCCTCCTCGTTTCCCCCGACGACTGCTCCCCTGCAGACTCTCCACATGGACATGTGGGGCCCGGCCCGCGTTAGTGGACAAGGCCGCGAGTGATACTTTCTGCTGGTTGTTGACGACTATTCGCGTTACACCACGGTCTTCCCCTTGCGCAGCAAGGGGGAGGTCCCTAATGTTTTGATCCCTTGGATCCGCGCAGTGGAGCCTCGTTTACTGCAGGTACCCAATGGAGCCTCCGGCGGCCAGTCTACGGTCTCCGCCAGGCGCCTCGCGAGTGGCATGACACACTAAGGACGACGCTTGCGGCTCTTGGGTTTGCTCCTTCAACTTCTGACCCATCGCTGTTTCTACGCACTGACACTTCGCTGCTGCCGTTCTACATCCTCGTGTACGTCGACGACTTGGTCTTTGCCATTGCTAACACTGAGGTGCTGGCCCTAGTGAAGTTGGAGCTGCAGAAGAGACACACGTGCACTGAACTGGGTGAGATGCGCGGCTATCTTGGCTTGCAGATCACCCGGGACAGAGCACGGCACACCATTACCTTGACTCAGTCACACATGGTGCAGCAGGTCCTTCAGCGTTTCGACTTCCAGTACTCCTCACCACAGTCCACTCTTTTGCCTGCCGGTCACTCACTCTCAGCTCCACCTTTGGACGAGTCCGTAGAGCCGAGTGGCCCGTATCCAAAGCTTGTGGTCTGCCTCATGTACCTGATGACCTGCACTCGACCTGACCTTGCCTACCCTCTTAGCATCCTGGCACGTTACGTTCCGCCCGGGAGACACCAACCAGAGCACTGGAAGGCCGCTAAGAGGGTGTTGCGCTACTTGTGCAGTACATCGGGCATGGGGCTCGTGCTTGGAGGACAGGGTCCTGCTTGTTCTCCATTATATAACTCTGGATGTGAACTGGCCTTGTGCCCATTTGCTTGTGCTTAGAGTGTGTGGTGACTTCGTGATCCACCCTGAGCTTGCTTTGCCTTTCTTGACTGGTCTTGTGACCTCCCCCACTTTGCCTGTGGGGGTGTGTCAAACTTATATGTTGCATGTTGTGTAGGCTGTAGTGGGGTAGCCCATATGGGGTACAACCCAAATTAGGGTTTGTACTTGTACCCATCTTGTTGCTAGTTCATTCTGTTAGAATCCAGAATGAATGCATTAGGTGAAAGGGGGGAGGGTACATGTAGAATGTCGAGAGAAATACTGTACCCCCTAAGGCTAAACCCACTACAGCCTAGAGAAATGTAAACACATATGTTTTGACACACCCCCATAGGCGAAGTGGGGGATAGCAAGAGCAAGCAAGAGTCACAAGACCAGTCAAGAGAAGAAGCAAAGCAAAGCAAGCTCGGGTTGGATCACAAAGTCACCACACAGTCCGAGCACAAGCAAAGGACCAATAGGCCAGTTCACATGCAGTGTTATATAAAGAGAACAAACAATACAGTGATCATACCCTAGCAAGTGTAAGTATGCAGGTATATGTATAGATCACAGTACAAGCTGAGTCAGGCAGTAAGCAAGTGAGGCAAAGTAGGCACAGGGCCTAACACAGTAGAGAAGCGCTGATGATCACCAGGCGGAAGTGCCTTGGTGAATATATCAGCAGTGTTGGCCTTAGTGGCCACGTACGCAAGACAAAGCTGGCCACGCTGCTGCAACTCTCGAGCAAGGAAGTATCGCAGAGCGATGTGCTTCGTTCTGTGCTCCAGTCTGTGCTCCTGACACAAGGCAATCATGGCCTTGTTGTCTACGTACAGAATTGTAGGCAAACGAGGCTGCTCTCCCAAGTCGGTCAGCAAGTAGGTGAGCCAGCGTAGCTCCTGTGCAGCCATGGCCCCGGCGTAGATCTCAGCCTCACAACTGGAGCTGAGAACCGAAGACGAGCTGAGAGCCGGAACCAAGGCTGAAGGTGTAACCCTGTGACGACCGCTGCGTAGCTGAGTCGTCAACCCAGAAAGCGTCTGCGTGACCGGTGAGGACAACTGGACCCCGTCCTCCAAGCACGAGCCCCATGCCTGACGTACTACACAAGTAGCACAGGACCCTCTTCGCAGCATCCCATTGCACCTTTCGGTGCCTACCGGGAGCCACGTAGCGAGCCAGAAGGCTGAGAGGGTACGCGAGGTCAGGTCGTGTGCAAGTCATCAGGTACATGATGTGAGAATAACAAACGAGAATGAATGAACTAGCAAACAGTTGGATACAAGTACTAACCCTAATTGGGTTGTACCCCTTATGGGCTACCCCACTACAGCCTACACAAATGTATAAGCTATAATGTTCTGACACATGAGGCAACCCACAAGCTCTGGGTACGGACCACTCGGCTCTACGGACTCGTCCGTGTCAGAACATTATAGCTTTTACATTTGTGTAGGCTATAGTGGGGTAGCCCATAAGGGGTACAACCCAATTAGGGTTAGTACTTGTACCCAACTGTTTGCTAGTTCATTCATTCTCGTTCGTTACTTTCACATGTAATCAGAGCAGGTTCCTTGGGCCCACCACCTGCTACGCTGCGAGTACCCACCCCTAGGCCCGTCGCTCCTAGCCTTCGCGGCCTGTCGGCCCCTAGCCCCGCACCCGGCCCCGTTCCTAGCCTACGCCCGGCCCGTACCTAGCCCGCGATCGGCTCGTTCCTAGCCCGCGACCGGCCCGTACCTAGCCCACGACCGGCGCCCGCGCCCGGCCCCGTCTCTCGCCCGTGCCCGGCCCGTACCTAGCCCGCGCCCGGCCCCGTCTCACGCCAGCGCCCGGCCCGTACCTAGCCGCGACCGGCCCGTACCTAGCCTGCGCCCGGCCCATACCTAGCCCGCGCCCGGCCCCGTCTCACGCCCGCGCCCGGCCCGTACCTAACCCACGACCGGCCCGTACCTAGCCCGCGACCGGCCCGTACCTAGCCCGCGCCCGGCCCTGTCTCTCGCCCGCGCCCAGCCCGTACCTAGCCCGCGACCGGCCCGTACCTAGCCCGCGACCGGCCCGTACCTTGTCGCGCCCGGCCCCGTCTCTCGCCCGCGCCCGGCCCCGTACCTATCCCGCGCCTGGCCCGTACCTAGCCCGCGCCCGGCCCGTCCCTCGCCCAGCGCTCGGCCCCGTCCCTCGCCCAGCGCCCGGCACCGTACCTAGCCCGCGCCCAACCCGGTCTCTAGCCCCGCCCGGCCCCGTACCTAGCCCAGCGCCCGGCCCCGACCCTAGCCCGCGCCCGGCCCCGCCCCTCGCCCAGCGCCTGGCCCCGACCCTAGCCCGCGCCCGGCCCCGCCCCTCGCCCAGCGCCCGGCCCCGACCCTAGCCCGCGCCCGGCCCCGCCCCTCGCCCAGCGCCCGGCCCCGACCCTAGCCCGCGCCCGGCCCCGCCCCTCGCCCAGCGCCCGGCCCCGTCCCTCGCCCAGCGCCAGGCCCCGTACCTAGCCCGCGCCCGGCCCGGTCCCTAGCCCCGCCCGGCCCCGTACCTAGCCCAGCGCCTGGCCCTGACCCTAGCCCGCGCCCGGCTTTGACCCTCGCCCCGCGCCCGGCCCCGACCCTAGCCCGCGCCCGGCCCCGCCCCTCGCCCAGCGCCTGGCACCGTCCCTCGCCCAGCGCCCGGCCCCGTACCTAGCCCACGCCCGACCCGGTCCCTAGCCCCGCCCGGCCCCGCCCCTCGCCCAGCGCCTGGCCCCGACCCTAGCCCGCACCCTGCCCAGCCCCTCGCCCAGCGCCCGGCCCCGTCCCTCGCCCAGCGCCCAGCCCCGTACCTAGCCCGCGCCCGGCCCGGTCCCTAGCCCCGCCCGGCCCAGTATCTAGCCCAGCGCCCGGCCCCGTACCTAGCTTAACGCCCGGCCCGGTCCCTAGCCACGCCCGGCCCCGTACCTTGCCTGCTACTGCTATAGCTACTGCTACGGCCCGGTACTGTCACTACTGCTACTACTACAGCTGCTATTGCTTCTCCTACTGCTATCCTACGTGCTGCACAGCAATGGCTTCGCTTCGGGTTCTCGCGTTTGATCATGAGGGCAGACCAGTTCAGTTTGACACGTGGCTAGACGACCTGCAGCTGTACCTACTGAGCGATTCTAAGGACAGTGTCTCGCTGTTTGACCTAGCGTCAGGCGCCGCTACTGCCCCTCCCGCTACAGCTGACAGTTCGACTCGCTCACAGTGGCTTACTCGTGACGCTGCTGCCCGCTTAGCCATTCGCAACCACCTGCCATTAGCTGAATGCGCTCACTTCCGATAGCACAGGACAGCGCAGGCACTGTACGACGCTGTCGTCGCTACTCCTCCCCTGCCACTGCTGCTCTAGGCCGCCTTCTTCTGCCCTACCTGTTCCCCGAGCTGTCTGCCTTTACCACACTCGAGGACCTAGTTTCCCACCTTCGCGCTAGTGACGCTCGCTACCGCGCTGCCGTTCCTGCTGAGTTCCTTGACAGGAACCCCCCCCCCCCGCTGTACATCACTCTCTACTTTATAGTCACCCGCCTCCCTGACTCTCTTCGCTCTGTCAGGGACCACTTCCTCTCTCCTGACCCCACCTCCCTCACTGTTGACCTCCTTGAGCAGCATCTCCTTGCAGCTGAGACTAGTGCACTTGCTGTAGGTGCTGCTCGTGGCACTCCGCGCCAGCCCTTCTTTGAGGGGTGTTCCCCCTCCCCCCTTGCCCCCTCCTACGCCTCCGCTGCTGCTGCAAACGTCTCTGTTGCTGAGGACGTCGGGGCTGCTTCTGCTAGTGCGAAGCGCCGCAGCAGCAAGGGCAAGGATGGCCGGGGTGGCGGAGGTGGCAGCGGCGGTGGTGGAGGTGGCAGCGGGAGTGGTCGTGGGGGCAGCAGTGGAGGTGGTGGCGGCGGTGCGACTGTTGGCGGGAGTGGGGGCTCTGGTGGCGGTGGTGGAGGCAGCGGTGGGAGTGGCGGCAGTGGAGGCGGTGGGACTGGTAGCGGTGGGACTGGCGCTCGGCGTGTCGGTTCTGGGGGTGGCCAGCGTCAGCAGCAGCAGCGTCGGAGCGAGACCCCGTCTCCCCAGCAGCTTCGTGAGTGGTTTCTGCGTGGGGCATCTGGGGGTAGTTGCCCGTATGTCATTCGCACGGGTTACCGTGCTGGTCAG